TATATATATATATATATATATACATACATTCATACATACATACAATGTATGTATATATATGTAGATGTATATACACATAACATTATAATATTATGCATTTATATGTTATATAATATAATATATTCGAATAACAAACGACAAATAATTTTGACAAATATCTACTTTCATCAAAATGAATATGAAAAAATGAATTTTAAAAATACTTATTTTGTTTTTATGCATAGATAATTATAAAATTCCGCTCTTTCATCTTTTTTCTCTTTTATTTTATCTCTTTTGGTTCATATGTCTATACAATACACAATAAAAAAAATTGTTATTTATCTCTCTTATATCATCGGTTAGTAGAAAATAATACTTTCTAATAATCTTAATGATATATGAAGACAAACAATTCGATTATTTTCATTGCAAAACAAACGCGGATTGCTTCAGGTCAAGATGCGTTCGCCCTCTCACTGCGACGCAAATGACATTCTGACGTTTGAGTTTGATAATATTGCATAGGAATGAATTTCATTATTATTCTTTTTTATTATCGTTTTGGTTGAATTAATTTGTCTTCTTTCAATTTTTGATCATAATTCTTAATACAATTTTGTTCATCACTTCTTAATCCAACTAAATCGCATGACAAAATTCTGTTAACCTAAGCAAAAACGAATCAAATAACTGCGTTCTCCTTTCTTATTGTATTGACTGGTGTGCGTAAGTTCATATCCTATATCATGTGTTTGTTCTCAGGCCCATATATAGGGACCTCTTTACTCGATCGCTCGCTTACAGCATCCGTAGTCGGCAGCGTGAGTGCATCGAAATCGCATCGTTGTGATTGTGATCTTCGGGATAATTATATAGATTGTTATATTCGGGATAGTTGCAATTTTTATAGAGAAGCATTTCAATTCTGTTCGCGTTATATTTTACAACAATCTGATCGTATCTTTATCACATTAACTCAAAGATTAAAAAAAGTTTGGTTGAATTTTTTTCTTTCATTTTACGTTTTATCCATTTACTGATTTCAATAAAATAGAAATAGAAAAAGAAAGGAGAAGTATCGAAAACAATCTTGAAAAGAGAAATTATTGACAAGAGATTTGATTTATTGGAAAATTTTATTTATGGACGATTATTTGATCAAATCTCTTAAAATAAATTGATTAAGTCAAGAGAGAAAAGAGGAAAGAAGAAAGAATAAGAATATTGTAAATCTGTTGGAAAGAGAAATTTCTGCGAAACAAATAAATTTTTTCATCAAAGGATTTCATTCATTTCAAGGATATGAAGTTCGAAAAATGCTCTCAATGGTTCCAATATTTCGATACTAACTGATATTTTTACCTCGCTAGTTCGATCTGTTATAATTTCACCGCCGTGATAATCGTGTATGTTTTAGCGTTTTATTGATGATTTTACATAACATAATATTTTGATACAAATTAGATGATTCTGATATAAAGAGAGTATAAGGGAGAAAAAGAAAAAGAGAAGAAAAAGTTGGTAACAAATAAAAACAATTAGCAGAAAAAGAAAAAAGAATCCCGTTGAAGAGTGTTCTATGTTGAAAATTTTTATTTTTAATCAGCAATTAAAGTAACGCTTCCGAAGATATACAACCGTGTCATCTTTTTTCAGTGAATCTGAATATTTATTTCGTGACTGAAAAAGAGACTGAAACATTTTATTGCGAGAGCATGCGGTTCATTGGAACATCGATACCTTTTTTCAATGCATTGCGATGCATATGTATAATGCTCTTAATGATTCTGCAATTGGCATGCATCGTGCATTTAGCATACATCGGTGATGATGATGATACACTTCCAGGTCCCCAAAAATGTTCCGATACGGAGTTCAAGTGCATGAACGGCAAATGCATACCCGGAACGTGGCATTGCGATGGCGACAATGATTGTCGAGATGGTTCGGATGAAGATCCAACAGTTTGCAGTAAGTATATTTTATCCTTTTAATTTAATTTCTTATTTCGTTCTTTTAATTTTTTTATCTTGTTCGAAAAATGATTCTATTTTCTTTGTATGTTGTAGTTAGTTTTTAATAATGATTAGTCATTAAGTAATCGACAGTTATCTAAATTTTCTTTAACTCGAAATGATTTTCAATTACAATATTCGAAATTATAATAATGATTATAAGAATCTTGGATATAGATCATCACAATGATGGATGTAATTTATAATTAAATGAAAAAATTTACAAATATTTTTCACTTGTTATAATTTTTTTTTTTTATTTTAAAGTCCTATTATGATTTTTTGCGTAATTTTTAAAATTATATTAAAATTTAAAAGAATTTTTTTTTTAAAAATTACACATTTTCTATATATATATATAT